ATCTCGTATATCGCTGCATTATTATTTATGAATAAATTTATACTTCATTCATAATTTCATTATGAAAAAATTAACCGTATCAAGCATTTAGAATTAAACACGATTTCCAGGAATTCAGTTTCTTTGATGACATCTTTCAATAAAGAGTTCATCATCTTTATGTATATGATATTCAACATTTCAGATTTAGATCGAAGCAAAAATTTTTCGATAACTTGTGATACTCGGATGATTTCGGGTCTTCGAGTCTTCAGATCGGTTTGAGTCGGATTAAATCGGATCAGCTCGGCTTAGTTCGGGTTGAATCGGGTCTGGTCAAATCAGATACAGTCGACAATATACAGTCGAGTCAGAATCCCGAAAGGTAACGAATTATGATTTTTGTATTTTTTTAAATCAAGTTTTGTGTTTAACTTTTAACTTTCAAAACTTTATTTTTTTCATATTCTTGTTGTTATATTTTGAACTTATTAATTTTTAAATAGCATAAAAATTGTAAAATCAACAAAAATAACCTTGAAATTCTATCAAATTCTTTGTCTTCAATTGTAATTCTTAATTATCAATTGATTTAAATTTTATTCACTGTATAATTTCTATTCCACAAATTATAGAATACTACCAGTGTACAATATGTTCTAAAAACGTAGCACAAACAGGCTCGATTCTATCATCGAAAGTTCGAAAAAAAGAAACGACACTGACAAGAATCTAATTACGCGCGTATTACACAAACTTACCAGCCGGAAAAATAATCGCTCGTATACATTGAAACCGGACGTGGTACTTCTATCGAAAATACGTATATTAACCGGTGTAGTATCTAGCGGAGAGGCAAGCCGAGGTGTATCGAGGTCGACCGGTTCTCCAACAGCCGTCAGCCGTTAAGGGACATTGCGACACACGCGCGAGCCACGGTTCTCTGTCGTTATCCTTCTTTCTCTTACTCTTTTCCACTTTTCTCCTCTCTCCGTTGTCGTCTTTTGCGCCGCTCGAGCTGGGGAACTCCGGGAATTGCAAATAAATTGTTATTAGCTCGACGCTGCCGCTTGCTTGCCCTTTTGCCTTTTCCACGACTTCGACGATTTGAGCATTCAAGTTTTTAGTAGATATATATAGATATTTTTTTCAGTTTTTTGTATAATAATTGTGTATAAAAGAACCTGGATATTACTGTGAATATAATATGTTTTTTACAGCTGATTAGTATAAGATTTGCTCGATTTTTTTTAAATTTTAATATTAATATTCAATATTCTTATTTAATATCCTTTATGATCATCATTATCGTTTTTTCTAATTAGCATCTTACTTAATTGCTTAAGATGTTGGTATATAATTGATATTAAAAAATTAACATATCAATACATAAATATTCTAAGTAGCTATCATTAAATAATCACCGACACATATCATTAAATAAATTAATATATATCACTTAATAAATAAAAATAAAAATTAAAAGCGTCTTCTCCAATTTATATTTTATAATTTATAAAAAAAAATCATCCAATTGAATAAATTCTGTCATTTAAAATCTTATTATCATATAAATATCATGAAACTAACGTACGAATATATAAATATCTTAATTAAAATTCTTCGTTAAACATCTACACAACATCTGAATAGAGATATTATCCAATATGAAATATTAGATATGACAATATAGCTATTATACCATATGATAGATTAAATACGACCAACTATGAAACACGACATATTATCCAATATATGTATCTCGATACATAAATAGCCTAACAATCAACATTATTAAAAAATTCTGACCAACATTCTACAACGCCAAACTATTCCACCTTCCAGTTAACATGATCTCCCCTTCGACTATTTTAACGCTTGGCATCGGAGAGACTACGTAAGAAACTCAGCCACCGATAGTCGAGAATATATTGTCGATTTTTCACAAACTAACCGCTATGTTTAGCCGTCAAGACCGGTCATTTTTACTTTCAATTTCTTTCCACCTCTTTTTTCTCTTCTATCTCCTTTTCCATCTTTCTCACTCTTTCTTAATTTACTTTTTCTAGAGGTATGTCACGGAGAAACAGGCGAACGATACATATCGGTAACACGTTCGAGGAATCGTAATTGGGCACGATCCTGCTCGATGAAGTTATCGTAAGAAATAGTCAGGACAATTAGCCTGTTCAATAATTACTGGTGCTTGCCCTGGTCATTGAAAAACAACAAACACGAAGGAAAAAGAAAATCGTCAACTGGTATATGCATACTTTGATTTATCTAGATACGTGTTTATTTTTAACAGGATATATTTTAATTTAGAAATTAAGATCTGCAATCAATTTATTCCCATAAAATATCGTTTATTTATCGTAAAATTAATTTGGAAAATATAACAATGAAGAAAATTCTTTAGCTTTCACTTTATGAAGTTGATTCTTAATGATTTTGATATTTCGTAAAGTGGAAAAAATTTCAAGTTTTTAAAATTTTTAAAAATTCACAAGGAAAACCTTTTGAGGTTAGAATTTATACTAATTAAATATTTATTTGTAAATCTAATTTTTCTTTACAAATTTATTCTTTACATCGGATCCATCAATTCAATTCACTTTCAATCCAATTTTACGATTCTTGAACGTATACATCCAAAATTTCGAAAAAAAAAAAATCTAAATACCTCTAATTCGATTCCATTTCTATCCATAACTTTACAACAGAACTCGCACATAAAAGATTTCAAAAAAAAAAAATATTTCTGAATATTATCTTCATTTTATCATAATTTAATTTCAGTGTCTACTGGTACATCCTGTACGCGTGCACAAAGAGCGAAAACCGCAATCGGCGCGGCAACGGTGCCAATGATAAAATCCCTCTCTGACGCAAACTGCATCGCACCGTAGTTGTTCGGGTGCATTGGCTAGGCTAAACACCGACGGTATCTCCGCTCGTGAAAGTAACACAGGGTCCCCTCCCGATTCGTTTATATTTTTCAATACAACCCGTGCGCGCTTTCCCGTGCACAGCTCGGGTTTATGATTTTGCTTAATTAATGGTCGGCCTCCCCCGTGACCACCGTCGTGGTCCATCCCTTCAAACCATCATCCCCACTCCTCCCGTGCGCTCTCCCTCTCCGCCCCTCCCAGCAACTCGCACGTACCCCCACCCATGTGTCGGACCGGCAACGGCCCGGTGGCCATTAGCCTGCACGGATTGCGCAATTTCGGGAAATTGCGAAGTAATTCGCGGTTGCGGCCACTCTCGCGCCAGGAGGAACGGAGAACGAGGTATGGATAGGTTGGAATAGGGGGAGAGTTGGCGGGAAGGGGGATTCTAGGAAAGGACAGAAGAGGTATATACGAGGTTTTACGAAGCGGCCACGATTCGACCTCGTGCGGTGTGTTTTCGCGCCAATCGATTACGATGAAGAGTCGGAAGAAGAAAATTGACGCGCGTTGAGAGGTTAGGTTCGTTTATTTTAGAATCGAGTTTTTTTTATTGCGAGTTATGATAAATATTTGCATATGTTCTTTTTCGATTCTGAAAAAGATGTTATGCATCTAAATTTTAAAAAGGTTATTTTAGAGAATTATTTGATTATATTGGATATGATAGAATTAATTTTAAAACAGAATAAAATATTTTACATTAAGGTTAGTGAAATGAAAAATAGATTTATAGAAATAATTAAATTCTTATTTCGATTTAATGTTGTTATAATAAATAGCAGACTTAATAAAAGTGGATAGATATTTAGTTATATAGTAGAATATAGTTAAAGTAAATAACAAATTTTTTAAAATAGAAAATTACTTTTTAGAATATAGATAATGAAAATTTAATCATCAGTGATAAAATTAACAGGTTACTTTCTTATCAAATGAAAAATTTTGACATGAAATTAAGAATTAATAAAAGTTAATAATTTTAATTAGTAATTTTTGTTCTTGCAAATATATTAATATATTTGTAAGATATGATATGAGTATAATGTATACATAATGGTATGAAAATTAAAACATTTCTGGATAATTATCTTATCGAATTTACTGAAAAAAAATTAACTTATCTTTCTTCATTAACAAAATTAATGTATCGTTCCATTTTAATATTTATTTATCTCGTTTAAATTATAATTAATTTAATGGTTGTTAGAAAAAATTATAAGGGATTAATTGCAGCAACTTTTATATTTAATTCTTTCAAAATTCATTTTTTGAGAATTTGTAGAAAAAATTTGTTTTTACTAATAATTATTAATAATAAAAAAAATATTTATTACAACAGAAATGGCAATATTTAAAAATTATTTTAAATTTACATTAATTTTTAATTTCATATATTTGCTTATTAAAAAATTTATGATTATTTACTAAGCTACTGTTCTACTTATCTTTCTGAGTTGTTAAACAAATTTAATCTACAACATTCAGAAATTTATTTTTATATTCCATGAGATATTTTGTCTAGATATTAATTTGCAAAAAATTAAAAAATTTCTATATGCTTTCAAGAAACTATCAGAGATGAATTTGATGACCTACCTCGTGCGAATTGCATTTAGAAATTCATCCAGCCTCCTAGAAGAAATTCACCGTCCGTCGAGGGTATCACGAAAACGCGTTACGATATTTTTTTGAACAACGTGATTTACGTGAATACAATGAAATTTCGAAAGTGACAAAGTATAATAGTACTCCATAAAACAGGAAAAAAAAAAAATTAAAAAAAATAATTAATATAATTTAATTAATGTGAGGTATCGAATTAATGAACGAAAAATTCAAATTCAAATTTCTTCCGTTGACAAATTATTAAACATTTCAATTTGATTGTTTGTTAAAAAAACAAAAATTCGAGAGAAAGTACAGGTAGAAAGAAGAATAAATTGAAAAAAGAAAAAAGAAAAAATAGGTAAAATAAAAAGAAGAACAGATTGTAACTTAATAGCCTCAATGGCAGGCTATTTAAAAAGAAATGGAGAGGGGGGAATAAAAAAGAAATGGCTACAATACCGATGCTATTCTGAGTACTGAGTTCCCAGTCTTTCATGAGGATTTCTCGGGCAGGTCAGGATGACGGCGACGTGGGTGCACCTATAATGCAGACAGTGAGATCGTACATGTAGAATTGCTGTTGTACAAATCGGGGAAATCATGCGATCGTTGAATATTCGCAAACTGTATTGCGCCGTGGTCGTCAAATTTTTGTCAAATTTTTCATTTTAATCATTCCGATATAATAATTCGTGATATTTATTTTGTTAGAAAATACATCGTACAGGATAATGAAAAAAGCTGGGATTACATTTATCAAAACGTAATTAGTATTCTCTTGATTTGAATTTATAAATAATTTTATAATGAATGTTTAGAATGAATATTTTATAATATTGCATTGATTATTTATTCTAATTTATTATTAGAATATTTTTATAATATGTTAATTATAATCATAATTACTAATCAATGGAAAAATATTATTTCTAAAATTATTTTATTTCTTAAATTCATGCTTTTTTTCATAATCCTGTAAAAATTGCCAAAACATGATTAGATTAGAATATATTTAATTTTAATCTTTTTATGGTATAAAAGCCAAATTTATGATATGATAATCATTTTCAAAAAATTATAATTTTTATATAATTAAAAAATTTTTTGTGAACACAATAAAAGGATTAATCGTCCATAATTATTTTTAATTAATCAATTTATTAAAAATTTAAATAATCTATTATCTAATAATTAGCAGATGATATTGAAGTTCATATTTTATACAAATATAGTTATATTTAAATTAATATTTGTTTTATTAAATTCACAATTATTTTGTTTTAAAAAAAATTAAATGTTCCACCTACTTAATAATATTTGTATAAAAATATATGTAATTATAATTAACTTCGTGTATGTATCGAATAAACTTCTTCATATATTCTTTCATATACTTAACATCATAAATAACATCATTTCTAATAACAAAATAATTCTTCAAATATCATTATGTACCGCAAGTGCAATGTTCATGACATCGAAGAATACCACAAATGCGATAAATTATTATACGTATTCGGCTTAACATGGCGTAATGCAATTATAACAATAATAACAGATGGCGCACGCAAAGCATGTTTTTCTTTGCGTTTGCTACGAAGGACCGGATGTCCTGACTTTCACGTGGTACTATAGTGAAATCAACTTGTTACAATCCGCTCGCTTACGAACGGACAATTCGTGGTTACGCTCGCGAGCATCTTCGGAAAGCGTGAGACGAGAAACAAGTAAACGAGTGAATATAAACGTGCACGTTTTTCCATTAAGCAAGGTTATGTAACGCGATTACATCGAACCGCATCGTTAACCCCTTAATTTATTATTTTTCAGAAGGTAAGTTAATGTTAGATATCTGCTCGTGTAGTTAGAATTTTTTTATGAACATGGGTATATGTAATAGTTTCCACTTTCCCGCTATGTTTATTCATCAATAAACAATTGAATTTCGAGTGAAACCTTGGATAAAATCTGCTTTATATCATTCCCTTTCACAATATTTAACCTATACCTATTTTGGTAAATTCTAGAACCTTTAATGTTACTAAAGAAATAATTATGTTTAATTTATGATTAATTAAGAATAACGAATTAAAATTGATAGAATAGAAATGTTAGCTGATTTTATAGTGATATTAGAAATGTTCTTTTTTTCCAAAATAGAGTATTGAATTGAAAAGAATCTTAATGTACATATATTGCGTAGATTTTTGTTTACTTTCAATTGGATTAGGTTAGATTGGATTGATTTCGGAAGCTTATAATTGAAATGATTTTATTTTTTTTTTTTTAGTTTTTCAATTTATAAATACAGATTTATTTTATTTGAATTACACTGTTTGGTTTACAGATTACATTGGATCAAATATAGAGTTAGAATAATTTATTTTTAATTCCTGGATTTTTTGGCCGAATAGTTCGTTTGAAAATATATCTATATTTGTTATCTTCCATTTTAATGCGATTTTTATAAAATTCTTTATTTTTTTATCAAAAGATATTTCTTAAATCTTGAATTATATTAACAAATAATAAATTGTAAAATATAATATTGTTACTAGCAATTAAAAATATTATGCTATAATATAATAATATAAATACAAAAATTTTTCATTCTATTAAATTATTTCTTCCTTCACGTAGTATTTATAAAACATCGTATATATTTTTCTTGAAGTCACGTATCAAAATTGCCAAACAAATCATTAAATTCTAAATCTAAATGTAACACAACTCGATCCATTATTAGCATCTTCAGGATTAATCCCAGTTACGTAAATCGAGAACTCGATTCGTCATGATTTTTAAAATCGATTCGTTTCCTCGAATCGCCGAAAAATATTAAGTTGTCTTTGAAAGTCAAAGCGATTTTCAAGCTCGTAAATCGAATGACAAGAAGAAGGCCGGTGTGTATTTTAAAATTTAAAAATAGACTAACGTACATATTTCGTATTTTCAAAAATTCGTCTCGGCCTCTAAAAGTTATCGTGTATTTGAATATTTAGAAATTTTAATAACAGAGATTTCAATGAAATTGTAAGTGAATTATACAGATATCAATAAAAGAAAAATATTTTTAAAAAATCTTTGAAAATGAAATATATTTTTGTAATTTTTTTTTTACTGGAATTTTATTTAATTTAGGAATTCTTTAAAAATATTTGATCAAAAATTTTGCTACAAATTTAAAATAAATTTTACATAAATATATCTTTTCAATCATTTAATTTTCTAAATCGATTAAAAATTTTCGATCGAAAAATTTTCCAAAAAATTTGCAATCAATTATTGAACAAAAACGAAAAATATAATTTCATAATAAAATATAATTTCCTAAATTTTTTTTATACAATTCAAAACATTTAACTATAATTCTTTAAATATTCAATTAAAAATATTTTTCGAAATGAACGATCGGATATCTATCGCAATAGAACTAAATTAAACTTTCAGATAAAATAACTCACTCTACCAAAAAAAAAAATAAATAAATAAATAAATAAATAACTGCTAAATTTTGTACGATGGTGCGTAAATAAAAAGCAAAACGGTCGTTTTAATAGATCGTAAACGAAGTGTTAATTGAATCTGTAATTCAAGCGCGTTTTACGAAACGCTTTCACGAAAAAATCATTCGACCAACATCATATTTTGAATATTTTTTATGTTTTCCATTTTCTTTTTTTTTTTTTTTTTCCCCTTCCATCGATACAATATCTTGATGTTGAAAATATGTTTTCACCGGAACCCTGGAAATTTTATGAAAAACATTCCAGGCGTGGCTTATACGATTCACATAGAAAAAAATATTTTTATTATTCGTTCGAGGGCTCGCGTCTCATTGATATTCTTTTACGATTGTGAAATCTGTTACGGGTCATTAAAATTGACTAAAAATATACCGCATCCTTTCCAGACTGTCATTATTGTTTTCGTGCATATAAAGTGGTCGTCTTTTGTGGCTTTTGGAGAATGGAAATCTCGGTTTGTTGAATTATATAGAGAGAGGTTGTAAACGTGGCTAACGATTAAATAAACTGACTACGTGAAAAGATAATAATTATTTATTTTTACTTAACTATGTATTGTTGTTTTTTTTTCTTTAAATCATATTTAAATTTATCTTTTTTTTTTCCCCTCGCCAATATTAATGTTTCGATTTATGTAATCTAAAAGATTTAACATAAGGCTACGTTTCAATTAATTTAGATTTGAATTAAATTCAAGCTAAATTTCTTTTCAACTATGTGCTAAAACTAAGTATAGTCTATATTCACTAATTAAAGCTAACAATGAAATATTGATTCAATATAACGTTTATTCGAAAAAAAAAATGTTTTGGATAAAATGTATTTTCGATAAAAAAATCATAAACTAAAAATCCAAAATTGCGGCAAATAAAACGATATATCACCTATCAAATATCAATCATTAGAAATTGATCCAACGTTATAGCTTTTTGATAAATGTTTATTTCTTCATATATTTCCCAAGGCACGGCAACGAAATCGTATGCCAACGCTTTCTTTTGTTCCGTCAGCACGTCCTTTCTTACTCAACGAAAAAAAGAAAAGAGAAAAAAAAGAAAGAAAAAAGAAAAAAAATCCACGACGAACGGCTTCCGGGTATAAAGCTGAGTATCCACGAAAGAATGCTAGGTCCCGTGGAACGCTCTTCTCTACGCGGAAAGGAATCTCGAGGGTGAACCGTGCCTGGGGCATCATCGAGACATCGAGAACGATGCCCTGGGCATCGAGGAAGCCGCTCGCACGCGTGCAAATCTGGCTACACGGATAACATTTCATGGAAAACGTTCCTACGGCTCGTTATCTTTCTTTACGGTTCGAATGAAGGGGACCACTAAGAGGAATAGCGCCTTCTAAAATTATAATTCGATGAAAGTACGTAATGCACGTGATGGTCTTCATCTCGTATCTTTTATAAAATTGTCAAGTTTTATTTGAAATTGAAATAAGATATCGTGTAACGAAGTTTTTTATGCGATATAAAATTTATTTTAACAATCTTTTTCACGAAATTTAGATTATTGTGATTTCGATGTATAACATCATTTTCAAACGTACCGTGTATACTTTGGAAAACACGAAGACTAAACTTTTAAACTTATTCACCGATTAAATTTTTATGAATTATGTAACTCAATTTTTTATCACACCTCGTGTAATATTAAACATACACAAATCACTCGACCAACAAAATCGCGTCGCTAACGTATCGTTCGATTAATTGAAAAGCCTCGGCCTCATCGTCACGCGGAAATTACCTCGATATCATGCCATAACGTATACGAAGATTCGTCGCGCACCGGTATAATTCAAACATCTCTCAATGCGCTACCAGCGCAGAAGTTGAGAAGCGTTCCGCGGCTTGAACACGACCTCCATTAGCCTTCTTGATCAGCGGTGCTAATTGGTCGACTTGAACGAACTAGCGATACATTCGCCCTCTTGTGCCATACTTGCGACCTTTCGATCCCTCGAAACAACTTCGCATGCACATAACCTCGCTACATCGCGGCTGTA